TTGCGCCGCCTGCGCATCGAGGTGAATAATGACTAAAGCAAAATGGCCATGAGGAATCGTTTGCCTGCCATCCAGCCCATCTCCTCCTCTCCTCAATCACTTCCAGCTTTGATTAGACAAAACAAGAAAGTTCTCCCTTCCAAGCAGAGGTTAGTGCTCTGCTCGCCCAGCGTCCTGGGACGGGGCCGGGAGCTCCCCAGACGTCAGCTGCTTCTCCTCTGGCATCTCCGCGTTGCTCAGGGACGGCGCAGGGACCTGGAGGGAGAAGACAGCAGTGACTTGCAGGAATATTCCCCAATAGAGAGCATCTGTTTGAGCGCACACACACACACACACACACACACACACGGCCCTGCTCCTGCCTCCAGCTCCACCAGGCAGAGCTCTCGGCCGTGCTTGGGTAAAGGAGAAACCAGGAGCCACCACACGGGCAAACCAGCAGCTCCATGGAGCGCTGGCCTGCTCCAGCAGCAGCGGTCTGGGCTGTTTCCACCAGAGAACAGCAGCTCGTGCCCAAGCAGGGGTAGGCCCAGCCACTTCCCACCACGCTCACAGAATAATTGAAGAGGGAAGGGCACTCTGGAGGTCTCCTGTGCAGCTGCATCCTCAAAGCGTGGCTGATTTCAAAGGCAGAGCAGGCTGCTCAGGGCTATATCCAGTGTGGTAACGGCTTTCTCGGAGGACGGAGATCCCACACCAGCCAGGCACAGCCCTTCAGCCAAAACAAGCAGCTTGCAATCTCCCACTCCTCCTCAACGCCTCCTGGCCTCCCCTGGTGCCAGCCCCTGGCTGCTCTCACGGCAGGACCCACATCTCAAAACCACAGCCAGCCGTGGTCTCCTTGGAGGTTCACCCAGGGCTCAGAGGAGCCCAGCACCTTCCCAGCTCCGGAGACACCGCTTTCCAGGGCCAGAGCACAACAGCTTTTCACCGGCAGCCTCTCGGCAAGGCCCCAGGCGCTGCTTTGTTCCTCGCACTATCAGCTTTCTCCCTGCCAGCCCACAGCAGCTCCAGGCGGGCACAGCTCCCTCACCCCCCCCCGGCTCTGGGAAGCACTCACAGCGCTGTGGTGAGGGAGGCTGCTGTCCTGCTGCGTGCCGCTCTCCTCTGCCTGCCCACCAGGGCCCTGGGTGGCCGTGGGCTGCGGGGCGCTGGGCCCCCGTGGGCACGACTCGTCCTGTGCCGTGCTCTCCTCCTGCGGCAGGATGCCCCGTCTGTCCAGGACGCTGCAGGGGCAGAACCACACGGTCAGACCCACAACTCCCCCAAACCGACTGCTTTTCCTGGCAGGGGAGGGGGTTCCTCCCCCAAACAGGCTGTGCACAGCCCAAACATAGCTTATGGTGTCTCTGTCCCTCCTGTGAAAACCAAGCCCAGTTCAGAGGGTGGGAGCCCACCGAAACGAGCGCCCTGGAAGGAGCCCCTGCTCTGTCCTCTTCCCCAGGGAAGGGGAGCAACTCATCCTCGGCTTCCCAAGCACATGGCAATAGGGAGCACTGAAGGTACACAAGGACAGCAACACAGGACCTTCCTCCCCAGAGCATCCAGCCGTGTCCTAAGCGACCCCCAGAAGCCCTCAGCACACGCAGAGCTGGCAGAACAGCAGCCAGGTCTCGTATCCAAGCAATGAGAGCTCCTCAGGGTCCCGCTCGAGGGGCAAGAATGGCAGGGCTGCCCCTCAAGAGCTTTACCTGGGGGGCAGAGGCCCACAGAGCACCTCGCAGCAGTTCTTCACTATGTTGCCATGGCTGTAGGGATTCTGCACGCGGTTCTTCCCAGTCCAGGACCCCTTAATCTGCAACGGTCAGGGCACAGGCTCGGGTCTGCTCCACCGACACCTGCCCTGCTCAGCCTGCACGAAGTGTCTGGGTGGACACAGCCTCCACGTACAGAGGAAGCAATGAGAAATGGAGGTGGCTCAGAGGAACAGAAAGACTCTACTTACATCTTCGTTGGTCGTCTGATTCAGTGCCACCAGGAAGGTGTGGAACCCAGTTAATCCCACCACCGACCACAGGGTGAAGAAGCAGATGAGCACCTCCAGTACAGTGAGAACAGTTAAGGACTGGGAACAGCCTGGGAACAGTCGCAGCCCAGCTGTGTATCACTACCCTAACGTCTCCTCTTCTCCTAGACATGGTTTTCTGTTTTACCCTCCTTCCAAAAGCCACAGAATTGCTCCTCACCTTGTAATCACGGGGCAAACTGCCCTGAAAGACTCCCTGGAGAAGCCTGGGCATCAAGTCACCAGTCCCTCCATAACGCAACTCACGCTAACCCCCAGCTGTGCAGAAGCCAACCCTCCACGCTGTAGAAGGATATGTCCCTGGGGTTTCCTTCAACGTGTTCAGAAACCCAATCTTCAGAGATTCTGGCAGTACAAAGAGAGATGGTTTTATCCTCTGGAACACCACACCGAGTCCCGTTCCCTTTCCCCCTCCATCCCCCCAGGGTTCACAGCACCACTCGTATCCCCCCTCCCTCAGCCAGCCCAGCCACACTCACTCAGTGCTACGTAGACGATGTTGAAGGTGAAGATGTAGATGGTGAGGAGTGAGAGCGAGAGGATGAAGAGGTAGAAGTAGCGGTAGTTCCTCTTCCCCACGCAGTTGCCCACCCAGGGACAGTGATGGTCAAAGCGCTCTGTGGAAGCGGAGATGGGGATCAGTGCTGCTGGTCATGGCCCTGGCTATGGATGCCCATTCTTGTGCCCCAAACTCAAAGTCCCCAAGGCTGACAAGGCCTCCCTGGACCACCAAGCCCAGCCCTGTGGTAACTCAGGCCCCCGTGTCATGGCCTTCTTCCATAAGGGGAGGCCAGGTAAGAAGTTACAAAACTGTTTTACTAACGAGTCATTCTGCAAATTAAGACAGAGTTTGGGAGCTTGGCCCCATGGCATGTCCTGTCCCAGAGACCTGGGGTACAACAGCTTTAACTAAAGCAGCACACGGGTCAGACAGAGCCCTGGGAGTGCAGAAGTTTTTATCTACCCCATCTGCCACTTGACTTCTCCTAGAATAACTAGAAGAGGGCTCAAGGAACTGCATAAACAAAGGGCTGGGAAGGAGAAGGAAATGAATCCCAAATACTGGGATTTCTTCCTTGGGAAAGGGTGCTGAACATGCACCAGTTATGGTACAAAACAGGGCTAAGAGAGCGTCTGCTATGCAGCAAGGGGAACACAAACCAGGGGCACCCAAGGTATCGGCAGAATCTCCGTGCCGATGCAAGGAGCTGTTTTCACACAGGACACAGCTCTCTGCCGGAGCCCTCCAGCCCAGCAAGGCCAGCGAAACTCAGGAATGGACGGCACACTGACATAGACAGGTTGGACTTATCTTAGACTGGTTATTGCCAGAGAAGTACTGGCAAAGATGAACCCCCTGGCTGCAGGTTCTGAGCAAACCTCAGGCTCCTCGCGCTTACGACAAGGCAGACCGTCCCCATCTGTTCACACCGTGCTGGACTCACTCCACAGGCGCGGTGTGAGACCCGATATGGAGCGAGACTGGGTGCAGACCTTACCCTGCTCTCTTCCAAAGGCTCCCACCTAACGCCCAGGTGCAGGAGCAGGCACGGCCTCTTCCACTCACCCACGCAGTTGTCGCAGATGCTGCAGTGAGAGGCACGGGGCGGACGGAAGATCTTGCACGTGTAGCAGTACTTCAGCTTCACTATCTGGTTGTTGATCTGGAAGTTCTTAATCCGCGGCGGTGGGCGCTGGCCCTGCGGCACGGTCCCGTTGGTGGCCTCTGAGAGAGGGAACCAAGCAGAGATCAGCCCTGCTGCTTGAATACGATGGCCCAGAACAACTCGCCTCCCTGCTGCTCCCACCAGTGGGATTGGAGCCCACAGGGTCTAGAGCCAGCGGCTGCAGCTCCACTTGCACAGTCCAGAGCCAGCCTGGTAGCTCAGAGGCAGCAAAAGGGGTGCCAGAGCTTTCACAGACATATGAGAGGGGCCAGGGGGGTGTCATTGTACAGACCTGCACCCACCAAACCTCTCTACCCAAAGGATCAAAGGGCCCACACTAAACTCCCTCCACCTCTTCCCGAAAGCAAATGGAGTTTGTATGCACACAGCTACAAAACAGCACGTGAAGAGGTTCCCCAAAGGGAAGCAGGCACAGCACACCATCATTTTGAGACTCAGCAGGTGGGAAGATGCCCCATTTGGGGCAATTAGACTTTTAGAGGGCCAGCTGGGAAGAAGGGCTCTGCAGAGAGCACAGCCTATAGATGTGCCAGAAACACGGAGGCTTTCCCAGCTCGGCTGGCTCCGCACTCACCAATCTCCATCTCGATGAAGGCTGCCTCGTCAGGAAGGGCTCTGGGGATCACCCCGGGGTCACTGAAGCTCGTCCGCAGGAGCGTGGCCATGGCGAACAGGAAGAGAACGGCTGCGAACACGGGGATGGCCGGGGACAGCTGGACGGCCAGGTACCGACACCTGCGGAGGGACGAGGAGCCGCTCAACCACAGCACCCGAGGTCTGCCCGAGCCAGGGCTTAAGAGTAGCAGAGGCATCAGAGTCCAAACTTTCCTGAACACCAGTTACATCTGGAGAACAGAGGCTGCCAGCACTGCCCTCTGATCCCCCAGGGAAACAGCCCTGGGGCAGCTGAGAGCCCACCGAGGCAGGGAAGCAGATCAGAGCAGGAGGAATCTCCAGCTGTCCCCAAACAGGCTTACAGCAGCACAGAAATGACTCCTCAGGGATGAACCGTGCTCTGTGCTGCTCGGGAACGGATTCACGTGGAAGCGCAACAAGACGCCTGGCTCTGACGTTTCTGAGGCGAGGGACTTGAAAGCCCCAGATGAAGCAGAAAAGCACAAGACAACCCCAGCTCGGGAGGGGAAATGCAGCGTAAGGCCACAGCTGCGACACGAAGCGTCCAGGGCGACGTGCAGGGCCTGTCTCCTAAACCAGTGTCGTTAATTTTACACACTGCAAACCCCACAGGTACTCAAAACAGCACCCTTGGACTGTCCACGTGCAGAGCTGAGCCTACCGTGCTTAAACAGCTGCAGATAATTTTGCTTTCCCTTTGCAAGGGCAAAGTCTAGAAAGGGAGCTGCGAGTCAGCGATTAAGCAGAAACCTTGGATCCCATTTTGGGAAGGAATATGGGGTTATTCTTCTAAAAGTTGGTCACGGTCTGCCTGAAAGGGCTGCAGCTCGACCCTTGTCCAGCTGACATGACAGCTTTTGTAGCTGTTGTAACTCCACGAACATATTACAGGCTTAAAATACAGATTCATGGGCTGTGTTAAAGCTGAACCGAAACGGTGCCAGAGCTCCCAGCCTCTGGTACACACCACAGCTTATGAGTTTCCTCGGTGCACTGTCAGCACAGAGGTTTATTAGCTACAAGCACAGGATCCGTGCTGGGCGTGCTCTCTGGGGCACAGACCTGAAAGCCTCACACAGCAGCACTCCCAAAAAAACGGGACCAGTCCCTGCAGCGAGCGGCGCGAGCATGGGATGTGACTCACTCCCTGCTGACCCTTCCCTGTGCAAGGAAGCAGAGATGCCCGCTGGGGATGCGGCAAGTCCTGCTGTCCCCAAGGGATGGCGAGAGTGGCCTTGAGACTGGGATGCGTTAACACCGGCTCCTTCGCCGAGGAGACGTCTGCTCAGTGAAGCTGTTGTCCTGTTGTCACCATCCCTCCAGCACCAAGCAAACACTCAGGCACTGCGCTGGATGCTCAGCTCCATCACTCACACACATCCTGGCACCAAGCAGGGCCCTGCTGCTTCCCCATCTTTTGGGGAACGTGATGCCCCGTGCATCCACCATGGCAGAGAAAGCCAAGCAGCAGCCAGAGCAGCTGAGCAACAGGTAAGGCCACCACGTGCAGGCTGGACTTGGGACTCACTGGTGCTGGGGAGGCGTCAGTCCACGCCTCGTCTGAATGCGACTGCGCTCGGGACTCGCGTTCAGCGCTCGGTAACAGACATTTTAAAGATCTTTTGTTTGGGAAAGCCGAGAGTCAACAGAGCCGCACTGTTGGCAAGTCAGGATGCTGCTCCTCCTCCGCTCCCAGTGCAAGATCTGTGTTCTGGAGCATTTTGTCATCTAATAGCAGACAATAACAGCACTATCACAACTCATCACTGCAGCCGGGGGGCGGTGGGGAGAAAGGCTTCAACAAAGACATCGTTAGAACAGGGGGAGCAGGGAGCTGCAGCAGCTGGGATGTGCCACGGGTTTACGGTACGAGGACGGCTCGACCGATTATTCTGTGCCCCTTCAGCTCTGTCGTAACCAGCACGGGAAGCAGAGCTCTGCAGGAAGGGGAACAAACCCGCCAGCGCCCATGGAAATGGACTTCAGCCACAGCACCAGCGGCACGTCGCAAGGCCAGGGCCCTGAGGGCTCAGCACAAGCTCTGTTGGACAATTCACTGACGTCCCGCTGGCAAATCACCGACCTGACTTTCCTAAACCAACGCACAACCACACCGTGTCCTGTCCTGAGAGCTGGGGAAGCAGGGCAGTGCCTTCACCGACCACTCGGCCCTCACCAGAGCACTCACAGCCTGCACCTCCCAGCCCTGGGATGGCTTCCAGGAGCTGATGCACTTGTGGTGAGCGTGGAAACGGTGGCTCTGAAAACCTGGGCAACCGCTCACTGCAGTGCTGCAAGCGCGGGGCCTTCCCGAGCAGCGCCCAGGCCAAACCAGAGCTGCCTCAGTAACGCTACCCATGCACCAACAGTGATGCCAAAAACGCTCACAAGAGACCCTCTTCATGCATTATATGTGCTTCCAACTCAACAGCACCCAACAGAGACCCTCTTCATGCATTATATGTGCTTTCAACTCAACAGCACCCACCAGAGATCCTCTTCATGCATTATATGTGCTTCCAGCCCAATAACACCCAACAGAGATCCTCTTCATGCATTGTATGTGCTTCCAACCCAAGAACACCCACCAGAGATCCTCTTCACGCATTATATGTGCTTCCAGGCCAATAACACCCAACAGAGACCCTCTTCATGCATTGTATGTGCTTCCAACCCAACAACACCCAACAGAGACCCTCTTCATGCACTATATGTGCTTCCAACCCAACAACACCCAACAGAGACCCTCTTCATGCATTATATGTGCTTCCAACCCAGTAACACCCAACAGAGACCCTCTTCATGCATTGTATGTGCTTCCAGCCCAACAACACAACAGAAACACTGTGCCAGTCGCGAGAAGCCGTAACTATCGAAAAGCACCTGTGTGTGAGTTTTGGCAGAGGTAACAGCCAACCTAACCAGAGGTCAAAGCCATCTCAGAAGCACCTCTTTATCAGTGCAAAAATCTTAGGTCCTTAGGGTTTGGGGAAAAAAAAACAAACAATTAAAAATTAAGTGACGCAAAGGGTCAGCATCACTTTTTTCAACTCATAGGAAAACAAAGACATTTTAATCTCTGCATAGCTGAGAAAGTAGGAAAAAAATTGAAGTGATAAACGTGCTTGGGTATTGGAAAAACAAACAGCAGCCCCTTTGGGCGCTCAGGAGCCTGGTCTTGCCAGCGCTATCTGGCCTGTAACATTTACAAAGGGTGACCGCTTGTGCTGGAAAACTGAGGACAACAGAAACGCAGCTGCTCTGGAGAGCTGGAGGGAGAGCCCTGCTTCAGGAGGGCCTGGCAGAGACACTGGCAAACTGCAATGAGGATGCCCCATCCCATCAGCTGAAATCCCAAACGCACTTCACCCGGTGCTTGACCTCCGCTCCCCATGCTCCAGCACCACGAGCACAGTGAGACCAGCAAGCGCCCTCTCACAAACACCGATGTACCCAATAAGTGTCAAACAACAGGCCAGGAGGACAGTAAATAGTGTTTTATGTGACACGCTATGGGCACAGAGCAGCCCAATTAAATACAGGGACCGGCCTCAGCCCCTCAGCTGCTTTTGGCCGGGGAGGTGAGAGGTGCCCTTGGGCAGAGGACTCAGCTGCAGAGCACTCCCGGAGCCAGCACAGCTCCACCGTGCTCTGCTCTATGGGGAGGGAGGAGCCGGGTCTCCAGGTACAGCACGGATCCCAGGCACTACCCAGTGAGGGATCACCCGATTCCAGCCCACAGCTCTGCGGTCGAGGGCATAAACCCAAAACCTCCCCGCGCAGGGGGCTGAGGAGGCTTCAGGCCGTTCGGCTGGAAACGCAGCAGCTGAGCCGATGCATCGGAGCTACAGGGAGGGGAAAGATAAATAAACACCAGCAGCAGCCCCGGCACAGAGGCTGTCATTGGGCGGCTGGGGAGGGCTCTTCCAGCGGGGAACACGGGGCTCATCTCCCGACGCGCGCGATGCCGTCACTGCCGGCTCTCCAGCCACAGCGCCGGTAACCGGAGCCGAGTCAGCGCAGCCTGGAGGGCGAGGAGCAAACCTCGCTGGCTCGGATGGCGGAGAGAGGCGTTTTCTGGCTTCGGGTGTCCCCGAGCCTTGTTTAGACAAGGTGTGACTGCGCAAGTGATTCAGCTGAATGAGACGCGCACCACAACACGGGCACCCCTGCAGTGAGCATACAAGGGCTCCTCCACCCACCACAGGCTGCTGCTCTCCGAAACCAGACCCTGCCAACCCGCGTTGTTCCTCTGGAGCACAAACTTCAGGGGGGAACATCGTGAATTTTCATGCAAATGCCAAAGAATCTGCCAAAATCAGAAATGAAGGGATAACACAGCAAAAAGATCAAGGGCGAGACCCTTATCAAAAGCACCCCAACGCACGCAGCAGGGTACAGAGTACCCTCTCCAGCAGCCAAGCTGCTCCTCTGCAGAGCTTGGTCAGTGAAACAGACACCTTGTGGAGTGCTCCTGGCTGGGAAGGCAACATCGCATCCCTATCCCAAACTCAAATCCCCCCAGACAATTTCAAAACAAAGCCACCCCTTTCAAACAGGAACCGTGAAGGTGTTGTGCTTTGACAGAACCTAATGGGTATTCTGGATTTTCCCCAAACTTCTCATCTCCCCAGTCAAAACCACTCAGCCGATTTAACCAAAATTCAGAGGCGATTCTGCCTCCCAGCAGAATTTCCCCACAGAGACTCCTCTCCAGCTCAACACAAGCAAGGACACAAATGACCCCTCACAGCTCAATGCCTCCCACAGCATGGGAATTTCCAGTCCCGTACCCATTGCACCCATTCCCAAACCATAACCACAGCACCGCTGACATGGCCTGGGGCTGGAAAAGCATCCTGGGCTCGCTCTGCCCAGCACAACCACAGCTGGCGAGGGCAAAGCCGGCAGAGCGGGACGCGGCCTCGCTCTTCCACTAAGGACAGGCTCCGCAGGGAGCCAGAGCAATTATCCCTCGCAATAAGCGTTTCGGGAGCAGCAATAAGTGTTTCTGGAGCAGTAACGCTTGTCAGTTCTTCCTGCAAGGCAGGAAGTCTTAGCCCCATTTTTCAGATGGGGCAAAACAAAACAAACAACAAAACAAAGAGTGGCGTCATTTCATACCTTCGAATTCAGGCTGA